CCTCAAAATTACTGCATCTACTCTCAAAACTGAAATCAACAGAAGAAAAATTATTGCTACTAGTTTGAATCTCTCTAAGGATAGGAGCATAAGATGAAGATCCTACAGATTTGATATTAGAGATCACTTCTGCACTATCTGAAGCAATGACAAGATCTTGCAGATTCAAATCCCGGGCTAGGGCAAGTGCTTCGCTACGTGCATGAGCCTCAAGACTTGCCGGGTCAGTGAGGCCATCGAAAACCATTGCTGAAGCACCCAAAAATTTGCCCAACTTGTCACGGCATACCACTCCCGCTGCACCTTTGTCTCCTAAAATTGACAAGCCACCATCACAGTTAAACTTTGCAGCCTCACCCGAAGGCGGAAGCCAAACTTCCGCTCTCGGCTGATTCACTCGTTCTTCATTAGCCATGGGTCTTCGCGAGGTAGCTATATCTAACTCCTCCAAAAACCTCTTGATAAGATTCATAGTAGAAAGTGGACTCTGAAACTCATTATCATGAATATCTTTCCTTCTTGCCCACCAGATTGCCCACATGGTCCGCCAGAGCCTAGCATCATCGTTTTGGTTTGATATCACATGCTCGACCCAGGAGAAAATACATAGGCCTATATAAAATTTTTGGGGCCCCTGAAAATTATGGGCTCTGTGCGGGCCTCACACTCTGTACACCTATGGGCCCGGCCCTGTTCACGCCTCTCCTTCACCCATTGTTGCCACGTTGCAACTTCTACTCCGCCTCGGTCACCTCCAACAGCGCACAACCATGATGTACCACAGAAGTGTTCTAAGAGCATCTACAATCAGGATCAGCAAATTGCGGCTCCCAAACGCTCGGGCGCGTCCACTAGCAGTGCCCGAGCAGTTGTCATTTACGGACCTGAAATGTTCAAACTCTATTCCATACAAACACATGCAAAGTACCTAGATCATACGGAATAGCATAGGACATAGCATTTCGGTCATCGGACATCCACAAAATTCATCCAAAAGGGCCGACCGAGTTCAGATTCTACCTAATATGGCATAAAACAACTATTTTTTTAGCATAGCAGTGGGGGGTGGCAGGAATTCACTACTTCCTTGCCGTGCCCTTGCCCTTGCGGTCGGCGGCGCGGCGGTCCATCACCTACATGTAGGCGTTCGTGGCGGGAGGATCGTCGTTGTCGTCGTCGACGTCTGTGGTAGTGCCGCCCTCCAGCGACGAGAATATGTAGCCGTAGAGGCGGCTGAGAAGGCGCTGCTGCTCAATCGCATGGCCGGCCGCCTTCGCCTTAGCGGACTCCTCCCTCGTGAGGCACTTGGACGCCTCGATACCGTCGGTCTCCATTGTGGTCAGCAAGTGCCACATGACTTCGCAGAGGAGGGCCTCATCTGGCGCGTCACTGCTAGATCGGCGTCCTCCACCTTGACGAGGTTGTCCCAGTCAATGTGATCCGGTCGCTGCCAGAGCCGGCGCCAGAGTTGGCCATGGCGGACAGTAGGAGACGGAGTTGAGAGGGAGCTAAGAGGACGAAGGGCACATATAGGACTAGTTGACTGAGAGGAGTGATGGGTTTGCCTAGGGTTCATCCGGCCGGGTGGGGTTTCTATGCTGACATCGGCAGGGCTGGCGCGGGCCCTAGCGGCCCTATTCTACACGGTGACTGCATCTGGGGCATGTCAGGACGTTCCAATATCCGCCCATATATGGGGCAGAAATGGGGTTGCTGGTCAATTCGGGCATTTTGACAAGAAATGGGGTGCCTGGGTAGCGTTTTTGCGTCCGATCACTGACCGAACAGCCCGTCGGGATGTTTGGGACGGTTGTCGATGCTCTAATATATTCCCTCTATTTCAAAAAGGTTGTCTTATATTTGTCTAAATATGGATGAATCTAGATAAATACATTCGTATCTAGACAAATCTAATTCAAAAAATATATCATCTTATCGTCCCAACTAAACTACAAGATAGCATCAACAAAAAAACTTCATTGATAAGTATTAGCAGACAGTTATGAACCCAAATTTATGACAAGGCATCGTATACAAGCCCAATAAGTTTCTCAAGCAGGGGCGTACGTGCCCAATGTCCCTCTAGTTTGATATAGAGGATTTTATTATTTGTTTTTCTTATACATATGTTATTTTTGGTTTTCCAGAATAGACCAGGATGATAAATTTTAGTTTGTTTGAGGGTTTTTAAGAACACAATACAGACACATGCGCTCTTATATACGCGCGTACATTCACCCATCCTACCTTATGAAGACTTTCGAAAGACCGAACTGGCATATCATTTTGAGATAAAGGAAGTCATCGTAGGTGCCTCGTAGTCGACAAGAAAGTCTTTTTCTAACGCGCATCACTGACAATCCTGAAAAGTATCCAGCAAAATACGAGCACTCTGCTGGTCCATCAGTACCATTGTCCTCCTAACGATGCACGAGAAACAAGGTACATTTACGTGGGATTAGTAGGTTGGCGTATAAGAAATTCGTAGGTGAGAGACCAGGAAGAGAGGAGAGGTGATGGCAGACCATGACGACTACATCGCTACCAGAAACCCTCAAATTCCAGACCGCCACACATTTTCCTCCCGATGGCTACCCCCTAGCCGCAGCCGCCTTTGTGTTGGCCCTTCGGACCATCGCGCTGCGGCACGTGGTCCACGCCACCGTCCATTGGACCATCGCCAGCGACCAGTTTTCTTCCCGCGGCTGCAGCACTCGGCGAACCGTCGCTACACCGTCTCTTCGGGCTGTAGCGCCGCAGCACACGATCCACCGCCGCCGCCCAAGGTCGTCCTCGTGGCTGCACCAGCCCGCGCTACGCCGGCCCTTCGTGCGGTAGCGCCGTGGCGCGCAGTCCACTCTGTCGTCCCCGCGCGTCGACTTCCTATGATATGCGCTGCACCGCCTCCCTTGGCGTGAGAGCGCTACTGTCTGCGCCGGTCTTTGTCATGCCGTCGGGTTGTTCCTGGCCTACCTAGGTCACCGGGGTGGGCGATTATGTTTTATGTATTAGGTGATTTGAGAGGTGTATGGTGGTTTAGGTGACTTGGTTCGACGGGTGCAGCGACCTAGGTTCCGGTGGTGTGCGAGTATGTTTTGCATCTTAGGCGATTTGGTAGGTGTGTGGTGGTTTAGGCGACTTGGTTCGACGGGAGCAGCGACCTAGGTTACCGTGGTGGGCGAGTATGTTTTGCGTATTAGGCGATTTGGAGGTTGTGCGGTGGGTTAGGCGACTTGGTTCGGCAGGTGAGACGACCTAGGTCACCGTGGGCGGTGAGTGTGTTTTTGTGTTTTAGGAAATTTGGGGGTGTGCGGTGGTTTAGGCGACACAGTTCGGCGACCTAGGTCACCGTGGGAGGCGACTTGGTTCGGCGGGTGAGGTGACCTG